CAAAGCGGCTCATTAGAATATCATTAAAAATAATTCCCGCCTACAGAAATTCGAATGGTTGGGGGGTGGGGAGGGCGAGGTTGTGGTTAGAACGCTTGGTTGAGTGAGTGCATCAGACGAGACGATGAAGAAGAAGTGCTGCTACAGAGTTAGTGTATCAGAGAAAACGAAGAAGAAGAGCTGCTGTGCTGTAGCTTCAAATTTTCTGCATGTCTAGAACAATTCTTACAAGTACAACACGACGTAGCTGGGCACCGCAGACAGACACCGAACGGCGCCGCCGGTGTGCCTACACTCATAGAAAATAATGTATTCGAATTTTAAAGACATGGCGACCGCCTGAAATGCTGTTTTTTTCACCTCCATGTCCAAACGTCTTTGTTTGGGCTTCCGAAAGCGGATGATGTCAGGAAACAGTGGTTGCAATTTATTTTTTAACTCTGTTCCTGAGCATTATAACCCCAATTTGCTATTGTGAGCTGCGCATTTTACTGAGGACAGCTTCCACAACATGAGGGAGTACAGTGCCGTAGTCGCCAAAAGCTTTTGTTTGAAAGACGGAGCAAGGGGCGTGGCAGTACTGAAACACCGTCTAAGCTGTTCCCCAATCACAACGCACTGGGACAGCTAACCAATCACAACACATTTTGTTTTTCGGAAGGCGGACCTTCATCAAAGCCGGAACTAATCGAGCCGTTTGTGCCAGGCTGGGGAGAAAGGTATTTTAATAAATGTAAATTATGTGAAAAATGCGTTTTTCGAACCACCAAGCATGAGAGCATGTTCTAGTACACCCCCAAAACAAAATCAAGACTTTGTAAAAGAGCATAATAGGACCACTTTAAGGTTCAGTCACATTATCCATTGCCTCTCCTCTCGTGTAGTGATGTACTGAAGCACATCTGACAAAGAAGTAACTTTTAAAACAAGCAGCCTTCTGTTGATTTATGTGGCAAATCCGCTTGACCAACTTGAACCAGTGGGGAAATCTTTCGCCCTTATGCAAAATCCCCAATCACATGGATTCCCATTGAAATGCCCGTAAAAATTTGCAGAAAGTAACTGCACCTTTATTATGCATTGGTGTGGATGCTAATATACAGGTACCCGTTGTTATCTTTATAGTAATCGTTCTTGGTGTGAACAGGCCTTCACAGTCTGTTAACCCAAGATCCATTTTCTCTGAGCAGCACTGATGGGAGGGAAGGGAACAGGAAGGGAATGTTGAGTTTGCTGGCTCGTGTCTGCATCTGACAGACAGCGTCAGGCCAGAATCCGCCACGGAAAGAGATCCAGCCACACATCTCAACAGGTGACACCGTCTTGTATTAAGGATGTCTGAGCAGCTTAATAAAATATGCATGGCGTGTCACAAAGTAGCACAGCCAGGCAAGGTAGGACTGTGTAGTATCCGAGTGGCTTTTTGCAGCTGCTTGAGGGATAGAAATGCTAATGATGCACAGTGTTTAGTGTCATGTCCTTATAATACTCTTTAATGTGTTTGAACGTGCTGTTGGGTTTCTCTTCTCCCTCTCTCTTCTCTGATCTTTCTTCCCCTCCCCCCCGAATCTTTCCTACTCTCTTCCACCTCCAAAATGCACTGAGTTCTCTGTCCGATCCATGTCAGTGGCAGCCAGATGTCTTAACTCTTTTCGACGTCGGAATGTGGGCCGACAAAACCACCGAAATAGGAGTGTCGGAGCATGTGTGGAGAACCAGAGATCCTGCGGTGCATAACAAAGAGCCGAAGTAGCAGAGATCTGGGCCCAAGCTGAGGGGGCAGAGCCTCACGCAGGCAGAGGTAGAGCAGGGGCTTGATCAAACACCGTCTCCCCCGGGAACAGATAATACTTTCACAGGGTGAAACACAAACATGCTGCCATGACACCCCCGTCCCTGTGAATGTCCCTGTGAGAGGAGGATAAAACGAGCCGCTTTTACCCCAGCGCGATCCTTACAAATCCACTAGCAGATTTACACATCATAAACACACATGGACACATCCTGACAGGTACAAAAAGGGTTTGGAGAAATGTGCTTGGCATTTCATTTCTTAAACATCCCCCCCCGATATGTATCGATTTATGAGAACAGTGCGGACAAATGGGATCAAAAGCGCTGTAGCAGTTAGTTTGTTAAAACGCTATAAATGCTGCATGTGGAAGGCGTCACATGAAGTGCCTTGTGCACAACGGGCTTCTGGAAGTTGAGTCATCCACGTCCATTGTCTACTCCGTGTTAGACAGAACGCATTTACGAGAACCAGAGACAAAATGGAGCGAAGACAAAGATGGCGAGAGTCGTGTTTTAATAGAGCGCCCTCCTAAAAACAAACGTGGAAGCCTTTTAAATGTACATTATGGCGCCCCATTAAATATTTTATGTGAATGACAAAGACTCCGTGACTCAGAAGTACAAAAGCATCCAGATGTCTCTAACAGCACTTTTCTCCAGAACGTATCTGCAAATGAGACGCAGGCGCCAAAGCCAGAACCAGCACCATGCAACCCTTAACAGACTGTTGCTCCCTTTGATGGGGTTTTTAGGAGTTATTCCATGCACAGATTTAAAAAACAACAAAATACCACTGTCTTTTATAGAGTTTATCATTACATTACCAAAAAAAAAACTGTTTTAAAGGAATAGAAAAATAATACTTCTCTCAAGATTTACTCATGTCATTTCAAACCTGTAGTTTTCAAACTTTTTATTTACAGAAACTATATCCAGGTTTTTCAATCCTGTGAGAACACTGATTCTTATTTAATTATGACAGTTGTAGAGGTTACAAATTATAATAAGAAATATGTCAGTCTACGTCTTTTTTACCTTTCTTCAAAACATATTTTGTCTTATTTAAAATTATTTTTGCCCATCTTACGACCCCCTTGGAATTGTGCTGAGGCCCCCAGTGGGTCACAGCTCCATGGTTGAGAACCACAGGCATACACTACCTTTGTGTCTGGAACAGAACAAGATTTAGCAGTTTTTTTCAATAATATTCTCTTTTGCCACAACTCTCATATATGTTTATTCAAATGTGGTGCAAGAAGACGAATGCATACAAAATTGGAATCGCATAGTTACATTTTCTCATGAAAACGGGTTGAGCTATCATAAGATTTATGAAGACTTAAAATACAGCACAAGTTATATGGACCTCTATTATGACACTTCTATGGTGCTTTTATTTTTGCAGCTTGACAGCCCCAGTAGTCACCATTCACTTTCATTCCATAGAAAAGAGCATCATTAACGTACTGTCTAGCATCTCTTTTTATGATCAACTGAAGAAAGAAAATCATTTGGGTTTGGAACGACATGAGAGTAAATGATGACAGAATTCTATTTTTGGTTGAATGATCCCTTTCATACAGTAAAAAAGACAGATTTTAAGGAAATGAAAGACTGGCCTGATTCAGAATGGACTAAATGTAGAACAGACATCGAGGAGGAACTCATTCGCTGGCACATAAACAAAGTCTGCACAAGAACATCGACAGAACAAACGATCAACACTCGACCTTTCAAGACGCCCAGGGCAACACAATCCCTGTGCATCCTCTCACTCTCCTACCGGAGCCAGTTAACGTGAGTCTGTCGCTCGACAGAACATGCTGCTGCTCGAACTGAACTCATTGGTCCAATGCATGAAAAAGCATTGATTTTAAGCTATGTTGTGTACAGTATATAATGCCCATAAATATAGACTGTGACAAACTATGGGGATCATCAGAAAATATCCCCCACTCTATATCGAAACTTTTTTGCTCTTATGGCTCAATGTCAGTGAATTTTGCCCGAAGGAATTAGAATTTCTCCCAAGTACATAATCCGCTGTCATTTTCTCTGTTAACAGATTGTAGAGGTGGAGAACACAAGCGCTGCCAGGGATTACAATTTTCAGTCTCTACGCTTGTCTTTGTGGCATCTAAATATTAATAATTCTGTGTTAAGGCACTAGTTTGAGTGGCACCTTCATGTATATGACTTTCTCCCCGGCTATATTTACTCAGCTGGGTTTGGGATCAGTTATTTTGTCTCACGACAGCAGCGCTCTGCGGGAGAAATGTAGAGCCACAACGTCCCATGTGGCACCTACAATACGCTGATATAAGAGAAGCCAATAAATTTAAGAGTTTTTATTCATTTATTTATTTATTCCTTCTCCGCTCAGACATACTTAACACAAACATAACTAGCGAAGGAAGGGGGAGAGGGAAAAGAGGAAAATCAAATCGGCTCTCTAAAAATATTTCACAATTAATTATTTTCCAGGTATTGTTCTTCACATAATAATAATAAAATGTAGGAAAGCCTTGCTAATCTTAATAACATACTGTGGGTATCATGGGTATGCATAGATAACAGGGCCAAATGTAAACATGAGCTAATTGTACATTATGTACGTCCTCTTGAAACTCTAATTATATGTTTATATCATTGAGGCTTTAACGGTTCTGTGCGGAACGGCAGAAGTGCACCGTCAACACCAAAACACTCTCTCTGCAGCACAATGTGATGCATTGTTCAGAGTTAATTGTAATGGGTTTTTCTGCTGTGGACTGTCATGGGAAATGGTTTTCGAAATTAGTGTAGTGTCAAGTTGTATATCATTTTAAAACTGCTTTCAATCTATATGTCTTACTGCTACAAACTGGAACATTAGACTTGCAGCTCTTAGACAGCAAGTACATCATTATGATAGTCATGATGAAGTAAATCGCACATTTTATTAAAGCAATGAGCTGTCGTTACCTTTAAATCCCAATATGTACTGCGATCGTTCATATGCATAATTAACAGCGCACAAAAAGCCGTCCGTGTCATAAACAGACACCTCGAATGATATGTGATCTTCTTTCAAAATCCATTCCAGCGCATTGCTACTGCAGTGCTCAGCATGGCCACTGCAATGCTGCTTTTCATCCTGGACATTACCAATCCATAACAGCGGTTACACAAGAACGAATGGAAATAGAATTCTGATTAGTTCTTACGTCTTCCCAGCCACTCCCAGGCGTGTAGGAGATGACATCCAGAAAGGGATTGGCCAGGTAGCCCTCGTTATTGAACGAATAGTCCCGCCCACCGAGCGTGATGTTACTGAAATACCTGCAGAGCAGAGAGAACACAGCAGAAACAGTCTGTTGAGATGGAAGAGACCCAGAAAGAATCAGTATAAAAGACTCCGAGGACACGTCAAAGAGGAAATCTCGCACGGAGCACTTCACAAACATCCTAATTAGGTCAGATTGTGAGACTGTGGTGAAGGTAACCATTTTATTTCCTTCAGCAATGGAATCAAAGGAGGCAGTCACTCTATTTCGAGCACTTAATCTAAACTAGTAAAATACCCAGAACGGTCCCTAAATGTGACATTCTTTGTGACTGCTTCAAATGAATCTTTTTATCTTAAATCCAATATGCTTTTGGCAAAATGAAGAGTGCACATTTAAAAATTTGACTGGGTGAAAAAGTTTGAAGGAGCAACGCTTCCTCCGCTCAGTTCTTATGAGGCTTTTGTGAATATTCCTCACAAAGTTCCTACAAAGATCTCTTTGATAAATACATGCAAAACCATTATGTAGAAGCCTACTTAGCAAACCGTAATTACATCAGCAGCACTAAACAGGTGAATCTCTTTTCCCCATCAATCCTCTTCTGATGTGTAATGAGTGTGAGTCACACTGATGGTGTTACGTTGAGAGTTTCCGCTCAGTGAGACCATGTGATTTCTCCCTACAATGTGTAAAATATGCTGTTAAAGGTGGTTAACACATTTTTTTTTAATTCAGGCTGTTGTTCAGAAATTCTAGTTTCATCACTGGCAGCCAGTGCTTTTCTCATCAAAATTATTGATGAAACTGTTCATTAATTAAGATTTGTATTAGCATTTTCCAACGACAATGAAGATGAAACGAAAATGCAGTGATTTGAATCAAAGCATACTGCTGATGAAAATATGAGACAAAAATAATGCTGATTGTTCAAAGAATCTCATCATAGTCAATAACTTCAGGGATATAAACTGTTTGAAAATGTAATCAAATTTTGCACGTTCTTTCGTCTATTAAAGTCAGATGTCATTTTTTATGAAATTCAACTAAAATTAACGAACATTTAATGACAAAATACTAACTAAATTATAAGGATTTCGTCAAAAAGCCTCTCAGAAATTAATTTTTCAATGCAGAAGTACGATATTTCCTGTGAATCTGTGAGATTTCCAATTGATTAGCCACCCACAGGTGTATAACTAATGATAACAAAGTGGAATAAATAAATAAAAAATAGTTTGCAATATAAGCATGGTTTATGATTACACTAAAATAATATGATAACAAAACCAGTTAACAACACCGAATGGACTAAATTACTGAACATAACTAGAAGCAGCTGATAACGGAAGTTAAAAATGGCTTGGCTTGCTCTTGTGTTAAAAATAAGGTGGATAATCTTCCAATTATAATAAATGAAACTGGCACATGCTTGTTGATTATAATGGGCCTTTCATAGTTTTGCTGCATTGCATGCTTTCAGGGCAGACACAGCATCAAGCATGCTGCTATTGTTTATCCCCTCCCACCCATGTTGTCTTCTTAAATACAGGGGCATGCTGAACGCCTCCCCCTGCAGTCCCTGTGGTGGGGAAGTAAAGGACATTCATGGCCCAAAGGTGCAGCACTTTCACTCTCATTAGAGTGTGTCATTACGGATAAATAGACTTACTATAAATGCAACAAAGCAGAAAAGTTGAAGGTTAATGCCAAATTAGATGAGCTTTAAACACAGTTCTCAGGGTGAACATAAATAGAGGGCTTTTTAAAGATATTCAAGATCAGTATAATAACACTTTTAAACTATGCTGAAAGCAGCATTTATTTGCATGTGCTGGTTTAGCACTTGATTCACTAAATGAATTAGGCAGGCAATTTCACAAATGCACATTCACAAAACCTGTACAGCATAGTCCTACCATAGACATCCAGACACCTAAATAATCTCTTAAAAATGCACTTTACTACACGTGAATCTGGATAAATGCTTGGTTATAACACTCTTCTCTATCATTTGATAATAATCAGCTGATTTACTGCTGTCATGATCGCTAGAAAGTGCACACAAACATCCCTTTCAGATTAATTTGTCACCTGCTTTCATTTTATTGTGAATAAAGTGCAATATACAGTACAATGAGTCTCATAAAGGAGGCGTGTTTGTGTGGAAATTAATGCTAATTACTTAATTTAAATACTCTGACTGCACCTGTTAAAAACAAGTTTGTGAGTGGTTAGTGAATAAGATGCAGCTTTTTACGCTGCGATACCATAGAAAAAGATGATTTAATTATTTAATTATTTATTTAATTCGCTCCTATGAGAATATCTATTTCCATTCCTTGTATGGCAACTATAACTACTAAGCTACTCCATAGTTAACATGAAGTTAAAATGAACTTCTTAAATAAATGTCACTGGTTATATAGTGGTTGGTAAAAATGTTGGTTTTTATAATCTTCATCAAAATATTAATAATATATTCTGTAATATAATTACATTTTATAATATATTTTTTTAAAGGTAGCATTTATTTGATCAAAATAAAATATTCAGTAAAAACAGTAATATTCAAAATATATTATTACAATTTAAAACAGACATTTTCTATTTTATTATATTTTAAACAGTAATTTATTACTGTAATGGCAAAGCTGAATTTTCAGCAGTCTTCAGTGTCACATGACTCTTCTAATATGCTGATTTGCTGCTCAAGATTTTTTATTATTATCAATATTGAAAACAGGTGATTTGCTTAACATTTTTGTGGAAACTTTTTTTTAAAGATCAGTACTATTTCTTTGATATAATATTTTTTGTTTTTAATGTCATGTTTGATAAATAGAATGCATCCTTTTGAATATTAGGATATTGAGTATTAATTTCTTTAAAAATAACTAGTGCTGTCAAACGATTAATCGCGATTAATCACATCCAAAGTAAAAGTTTTTGTTTACATATATGTGTGAACTGTGTACATTTATTATGCATATATAAATACACACATATACAGCATATATTTTTTAAATATTTACGTATTTACATGCATATATTTATATTCATATAATTTATATCATATATAAATATATTTAATATATAAACGTAATATATATTTTTTAAATATATACATGCATGTGTATTTATATATACATAATAAATATACACAGTACACACACATTATTATGTAAACAAAAACTTTTAGTTTGGATGTGATTTATCGCGATTAATCGTTTGACAGCACTAAATATAACTTTTACTGTACTCAAACTTTTAAAATATTTTTATTTATTGAAAGAAAGAAATTAACCAACTATGTTACAGCCTTCTTTCTCTGCCCATTGAAATCTCATTTGATAAAATCAAATCCCACCCTACATCATGTCCCACTAAATATTCCATTTCACTTAATACAGCACGTTACATTAGTTAAATGCTTTGCGAATGTTCATGGTCACTATAATATAAGTGAAAGTGTTGTGCTGCTCAGTGTGAGACATGTTGTATCTCTCTGTGCAAAACATACAAGTCCCATCTTGTATCGGTAGAAAGAACTGTTTCTTACTTCATTCTACCGCGGATCCTCTGTGTTCCGTTGCCATCCGTCTGACAGTTAGTGACAAAGTGCGGCCCTCCAGTGGCTCCATAGTCCTTACGCAACGCGACAGCTCCATGAGTAAGAATGGACACCCCACGGGCGATACGTCTGCGGGGCTCGTCCCTCCAGCCCTGTGGTCTGACCGCAAACAGCCGACTGGGTAGTCCGGTCAGGCCCAGCTCGGACAAAGCTGGACCCACCGCGAACCATATGTGAGAGGCGCTGGCCTGACCAGCTGCCCAAGCAGCATGGAACACCTGTTCTGCTTCCTCCTGAGAGCAGTACAACAACCGCACCTAGAGTGGGAGTGGGGGCAAAGAGGACAGAGGGGACCAAGATGAAAACCAGAGAGCAGGAGCAAGAGAGGAAACAAAAGAGAGTGCAAAATAGAACACAGAGGTCAAAAGGGAGGAAGAGACCATGAGCGGAATGAGAAGAGGAAATGGAAGAGAGGACAGGAGAGGTATTGGGTTTATATATTTATTTATAAAATCACTAATAACTGATCTTGAAAATAAGTCCTTCAGTAACTGAAAAACTGTAATGAAACTGTAATGTAATGACATTTTACTGTTAATTTCTTATAATGAGAGTATTTCCATTTTACAAAACAGAGCCTAACAGTCCCAATATCAAAAGAGCAATTAAATAATTGTTGCTCTTGTTATTACATTTCAGATATTTCATAGAACATTCATGTCAATTAAATGGAGCACAACAGAAAGGGAGTGCAATCACTTGGATCAGTGAATTTGGATTGAAACTTGAAATCCTATATGCACTGTAATTAATGATATATGAAAACTAACATTATAGGGATTACTGAAAAATTAAGGCTTCATTACAGGAACTAATAAACTGATTACTGTAGATTGATGTACTACAGTATGTACCGTGTTCAGAGGGCAGAATATGCATGTTCCTGCAGAGTCACACATTCTACTGTCTACTGTATGTCAATGCTATTTATTCTGCTGCATTTAGAATGTAAGACGTGTTCACTTTACATTATTTAACTACCTTTTTCATAGAATTTGTATAGCATAGAATATGGCATACTTCAATGTGCATATTGTTAGAAGAACAAAATTGGTTAAGATATCTGATTAATCAATCAAAGAGCTAACCAGAATTGAATTGATTATAAAAACAGTTATTAGTTACAGCCCTAATGTATTAGGATTTATTCCAGGCAAACAGTAACAGACAGAAATTATTTTAAGGAGAGGAACAGCTTTGAAGTAATGGTGCTGGGACATGCCTTAATGAAGAAAGACAGATACTGGATGTATGGAAAGAGAAGGAGAGAAAACGGGAAGAAAGGAAACTAGCACATCTGGGAGGGAGAGAGAAAGGAAGGAAGGAAAGAACAGTAAAAAAGCAGAAACTGAGAGAGGGACTAAAGATTTCACCTTTACAATGCATGAGAGAGAAAAACCCAAGAGAGATAGACTGTAAAAGAGAGAGAGAATAGGAGAAGAGAGCTAGAGAACTGGGAAAAGAACAAAAGAATGACAGAATAAATAGACAGAAAATCCAACTAGTATCTAAACTCACCAGCCCTGAACAGGACAGAATAAATTATGAAATTATGGTCTTGTTCTGTGTGTGTGTGTGTGTGTTTATGTAGAGTATACAATATATTCTGTCTGTGTATACAGTAGGGGTGGGCTGTACATTGAAAATCATGGTATGATTAAACTGGTCCTGGCTTTTTAAATTGGTCAACACCGTGTCCCAGTCGTGCTAAAATTCACAAAATAAGTGGAAAACATAATTTTATCACATCACTGCGCAGCTCCCATAGCAGATATTTTTGCTACATAGCAATACTGTCAGGGACTATATCTTTCAGCAGAAGAATGCCACTTGATAATGTTTCGCAATATGGCCATGATGCATTGTGAATATATATATACACAGCTGAAGGGCTTGTAGGTACTACACTGTGCATTACTGACCTCTTGTACCAAATGCAGTTATTTTTAGGGATGCACCAATATTAATATTCTAACTGATAATGTATTATGCCAATAAGTATTTTATGTTATATTTGATAACCAATAAATACAGTAGCTGATAATAAAATTATTTTACCTACATTATTTTTCCTAATATATAATAATAAATAAAACATTAAAAACTCAAATAAAAAACACTCCTATTTAATTAAGATGAATTATTATTGTGTTTTTAAATATAAACTTAAAGTGTGCATTATAAAATTGTGAAAACAGGAGACTGACAACAACCATTTTAAATTAAAATAATGAAAACACATTTTAATTTAATACAGTTTTTAATATTAAATTATTTAATTTTAATAAAATTATTATATTGTTATGTTAACTTGTAGTGTTCTTCTGATAATAAAGATAATTTAAATATAAAATTAGAAATTAGCATACACAATAAAATATCCAAAATAGGTCAATATATATCCAATATTGATAATATTACCACAATATGATAACAATACATTTTAGATATTTAAAAAGTCCATTTGAACCGATAACGCAAATGGTAACCCAATATTGTGCATTCATATTATTTTTACAGTAAATGTATATCAAGATCTTTAGAAGACCACAAACCTCTCTGGGTGAAGAGTAGACTGTAACTTTTTGCGTAGTATTGGATTTTTTTTTTTTACATCGCACAGTAGATACACTGCAGTACTATAAACGGTATAGCATCTCTACCGACTGACATATTTCTACCACTGTCATACCGCCCAGTGTAATGAATGAATGAATGAATGATGCATTTATATAGCGCTTTATTGTGTATTGTTGTACACCCAAAGCGCTTTTACAATCATGTGGGGGGGTCTCTCCTCAACCACCACCAGTGTGCAGCATCCACTTGGATGATGCGACGGCAGCCACAGGACAACAGCGCCAGTGCGCTCACCACACACCAGCTACAGGTGGAGAGAAGAGAGAGTCATAGAGCCAATCAAGTGGTTGGGGGGATTATTGGGAGGCCAGGGGGGCAATTTGGCCAGGACTCCGGGGTTACACCCCTACTCTTTACGAGAAGTGCCATGGGATTTTTTTTTTTTTAATGACCTAAGAATGCATTTGCACTCTATACTGTATGTTCTACTATGCAACTTTCTGTGTGTATATAAATGCATACTTTATGTATGTGTGCAATATTTATTTGGGTTTGTGTGTATGTGAGTGTGTGTAATGAGCAGAAGCACTGCAGACTGAATCTAATGCATATGGCATTGGGCTGTTATATTAACACTGACATCAGTGTACTGGGACCCACAAGGCACAATAACACCCTCTAACACACACATACACAGAACAATAACAGCCTGGAGCCAGGGGGAGACAGAGGACAACCTGCGACACACATACACACATACACACACACGCATTACACAAATATAGGTAGAGATGGGAAAGGGAATGAGAATGAGAGGAGAACGGAGAAAGGACAGCGAGAGGTCAGAGAAAGACGGTGGAGACGACAGCCGAAAAAAAAGTCAAACAAATGGTTAAGGACAGGAAGTGATGTCAGTAAATTAATGATTAAATGAGCGAATAAGCAAGACAGAAACGCAATGACCTTCCCTCTCTACCTGTGCGTCGTTCTCTTTCAGCAGCCGCCGTGCGCGTGCTCCTCCCGGATCATCGGTTAAATTCAACATCACTACGCTCTTCTTCTCCCAGCCGATGAATGACCCGTCGGTCAAACCTTCCACTACTGACAGGAAGTCCTGGTAGCCATGGTGACGTGTGGACACCACCGAGAAGGCCGTCCAATCGTACTCCTCCAGCACCTCAAAGATCACCTCCAACTGGAGTGCGGTGGAAGAGCTGAACTGCAGGAAGATTGAGCCGGTCTCCTGCAGAGTAATTAAGAAGGTAAACGACTACATTTCCCAAGACTATAGACAGCTGATTCATTCCTTGCATAAGGCATCATGGGAACTACATTTCTTCTGAACTGTTTCTAATGTGACATTCACTAATCATAACAGCAGACAGAGCTTGTCTTCTGCAGTCCAATTAAGGGGAAAAAATAACTACGTTTCCTGTGATTGAAGACTATTTATTGCCTCCATAAAGCATCATATAAATTCAATTTCTTATAAAGAGTTTCTGAGATATGCAGGCGCTGTAGGAACATGAGGGAGGTGCTTCAGTGACTCTAATCGTCACCGGAGTACATCACACAGCTTTAAATTTAATTTGCGATGGCGTTGAGTGTACGCGTGGGTCTGAGAGCGTGTAGGATTCAATGCGACAACATCAAAAGGATTCAATATCGTGTCTCCAGAGTAAATAATAATAAAAAACAAAACATTTGTGAATGAAAATGTCTTTTTACCTTTGTAGTTTTCATATTGTGCTAGGGAGAGCATGTTATTAATGTCGAGACTAGCAACTGAAATTGCAAAACCCAGACCGAAGCACTTTAATGAACACAAGAGGGAAAAAAAGAGCAGACCATATGGCCTGCAGCGGTAATGCATGACCCTTGCCCTTGCTATTTATCTAAATGGATGTTAGTAATGCCATCCCTTCCTACGGTTATCGGTGCGCCTCGATCAGGCCCCGATAGAGACGACGGCAGTCCTATCTCTGTCCATTTAACGGTCCTCCTCAGGCGGTACCATTAACAAACAATGCCCTTATAGCACTGCAGCAAGCCAAACACTATCTAGCAAGTGTTAGAGCTCATTAACACCAAGAGCTTGCAGAGAGAGATGTTTGTGAGGAACTTCCAAAGTCCAAAGACACTCATACAACATTGTTTTTTTTCCTTTTCAGAAACAACAACACTGTCAAATAATTCAGTGAAGCTAAAGTGCGTCTTCAGACAGGACTAAGAAATCCTCAGTGGCCTAGTTTTATTGTCCTATTAAATGGCATAGACAGTACAGTTAATAAGGGGAAAAAACATTATTCATTTCAAGACAGCTATACTTCAGAATCAAAATCAATCGTACTGGCTGGGTACAATCACTTTTAAGAGGAATTTGACTTAGCTGAGTCAAACTGCTGATACAAGCTTAAACCTCTCAGGGTTACAGGAAATGCTTCAAACAGGACAAGCTTCTGTCTGTAGACTTTGGTTCTGTATTTAAAATCATTCTGTTAGTTGGCACCAGACTGTATTGGGAGATTTCTAAAGGCAGATCAATGAAAAGTGCTCAGAGGTTAAGCCAAATTAATTGAACTTAGATTATGGAATCATTGTGAATAATTACTAGTTGATTTCCAATTTGAATGTAGTTACAGTAAGTGAGTGAAATCAAACTCTAAAGTATGGTAATAGCCTTGTGGGCAGCGTGCCAACACATAGCCCCATTGCTCTACGGGCGTCTCAAATTCGAGCTCGGCTCACTGACCTTTCCCGATCCCATCCCACCTCGCTTTCTGTCTAAAATACTGTCCTATTCTAATACAGGCAAAATGCCAAAAATAAATCTTAAAAAAAAAAAACATTCGCAAATTTTCGGTGAAATTTCGCATGACCAACTTGAACATAAGTGAGATCTTAACGGGAAACTTCACAAAGCTCTCAATTGCATGAAATTATGGGATTTAATTTTTCACCTAAATTCCCTAAACAATCATACCTGTGGTACCCTGCCCAGACCCGCTCCCCCTCCCACAGCAACAATGGGGAGGCCGGTCTGGGCTGAAACGAACTCCAGCATGGGGGCCAGGGGGCCAGAGGCCAGCGGGAGGGGTCTCTCATCTTCATACACAAGTCCCTGAAGGGGTCTGGCTGCCAGCAAGTCACACAGCTGAGAGAGCAGCGTCCTGGGGCTGCTGTCATTCACCTGTAGGTAATTCACATTCACTTCACATTTGTGTTCACATTCACACCACATTAACTTCTGTAGTTATGAATGAATACTCATGCTTAAGTGCCCGTATTTTCACTCTACTTTTGTATTCGCACTTCAGTTCACAATCAACAAAGCGTTCAGGTATCCAGACTAGACTAAATTTAAAATCACAACTGTTTCGACCCTGTACGCAATCAAGTCAATTTAATTTGCATGACCTCTATCGGACTGACCTGGAGCCAAATTACATTTGCGGATCCCCACTGGGTGACGACGCTCTCACCGAAGCTGCTGTGCACACGTCCGAAGCCCGGGTATGGCACCCTACCCGCAGCTGCTGCAGCCCCTGCTTCCCCTTGTTGAACCGTTGAGCCCGCGTGGATCACTGCGATGTTGAAGTGCATTGATGCCACCGGGTCCCGTTCACGCTCTCGGGGCCGGAGCAAGAGATGAGGAGAGGAGCTAGTCTGACCCGCCCATTCTACCAGGGCCAATAGCAGAGAGAGTGTGGGTACTGTGACCATGGCAAAAACCGAGGAGGCCAAACGAGAGGGTACGAAGAAAGCCTGAGTGAAACCAGGAAGAAAAAGCAAGAGGGTAAACTCTGATTAAAACAAAATCAAAAGAGCAATATATTGCATGTGCTTAAGAAAACATTTGAGAGATATATAAAGAGAGAGTAGGCACTAGAATGAAAAAAGAAAGCAAAGTAGAACAAGAGAGATGGCAAGAAAGTAAGAGAACTGACAAAAGAGGCAAGAAAATGAAATGGGCTTTATTCAGGCCACAGGGTGAAATGGAGCAACACAGGAGGATAATTGACAGAGGGATAGAAAGAAACTACATGTGTGATTGTGTGTACAGGTTTATCTGTTCTTGTGAAGGTCTGAAACCATCTTGTGAGGACATCAAAAGTGATCTTCACTATTTGAAAGGCTCACAAATAAGCCAATTCATGTTTTACATTAAATGTAATAATGGTTTGTATGAGGACTTTTTTGCATATTGAATGAGTAAAAAGAAAAAAGAGTGCCCTTGATAAAGAAAAGGAAAAATATTCTGCATTATGAATCGACTTTAAACACAAGTTCTTAGAAATTAGGGTTGGGCGATGTCTACAAAATTGGCATCGGACGCTGTCTACAGTGAAACATAGCGATGGACGATCATCGGCGGGGGAGAGCAGGGCGGAGGGGTGTGGGGGTGGCGTTAGGGGGTGTGCCCGAAGCGTGAACCTTATAAGGGAAAACAAATAACGATTCCTAACACCGTGTCTACAACGGCACGACAAAATACTATAGAACCACTGATCTATAAATGAGATTCATTATATATAGATCAGTCTATAGAACTCATTATAATCAGTGATGCTGTCTACACTGGATGCGACACGGTGCGACACGACAAATCCCTGACAGTAAACTGCTGTTCTATTTATGACATGCTGACACAAATTTCAAATTATTTTCAATGGTCGCTTTGTCGCGTCCTGTGTAGACAGACTTTAGCTGATGCGGCGCGGCGAGATGGGTTGTGGAAGTGGGGGGGCCGCCCGGGCCTTGGTATGTATATGTATATGTATGCATATGTATGCACTTTAATCACTGAAAGATCGCGATCTCGATTCAAACAAACGCAATCTTATTCCTAAATGACGATGATTCTGCTATGTCTATTAAACCTTTGAAATCCCAATCACATCGGAATATTTAAACCTGCTTTTGCGCACCCGCTGATGAGAGAGCAGCACTCATCAGGTAAAGCTTTATGTTTGAAACAGCTTCACAAACAGTCTACACAGCAGGCTACATTTCTGTATTGTAAACATTAAATAATAACGAAAGTATTGATAAAAGTTTAAAGTCCGGATGTAGACTCTGATGTTGCGGGAGCCGCAATCAAAATGGGTCTTTGAAAGTAATACGCTGCAAATAATGACTGTATATGTTACATTATGCTAGTAGGTGTCTGTTTTGTTTTCAGAATCGTGGGAGAATCATAGCTTAAAAATACATAGGCTAATATATGTGGCATCTAACTAATAGGTAATATATTTATTATTTTATAGGTAATATTACTACAGTTTCTAATATTAAAATTAGTTCTGCAATCCACCCCCACCCGGCCCCCTCTCCTTTTGGTTCATTCCATGATCCTTGGGCGAGACAACTGTCGCGTCCGGTGTAGACACGGTGTAACAGTTGCCTGTTACATTACAGTACATAAAATTTCACTTACCACATAATCAGAGTAAGGAGAGATGACTGAGGACGATGGTGAATGATTTGCAGATCCTCAGTACCACTGACAAACATCTAATCTTGTAAAATGTGTGGTAAGTACTGCCGCTCCATAGTATAAACAGAGTGCGTGCGATCGCAAATCTCAAAAGTGAAAGTGAAACTAAAAAGCGATCGTGCATTCAAAAGCACGATGCCAGTTTCAATGCCAGGTATAATAGTGGCTCCCTGATTCCCTAAATATATATGTAGTATAATTACCCAATGATATACTGCGAGGAAAAATATTGAAATATATATTTTCCTCCCATCTCCTATTTATTCTCTTTAGGGGTTCCGCCTACATGTAATTTTCTTTCCGAACACTTTATTGGGATGTGGCGGATTGCGGGGGGTATTTGGGGGAATCACGATGCCGGCTCAACATCGTGTTGTCTATTAGCCATCAGCGATGGACGATGGCATCGTCTATCGGCCCAACCCTATTAGAAATGTACTCTTTGGATTCATGTTTGTTTCATATGGTTTGTGAAACTCAAGTGGTGTAATCAGTATCGCAAAAAAGAAAAAAAAAGCATAGTGTACACATCTTAGTCATTATTTTCAATGATTTAAAAAAAATGTAAATACAAGTTTTAAGTTTAAAATGGCCAATTATGCAGGTGTCCTCCATAGGGCTGTCAAAATGACTGAAAAACTCAATTCAAATTTTCTACTTAAATATAATCAAAATTCGAATTATATTCGAATTTAAAAGGCATAATTTCAGTTAGGGGCTTCTCTCCTGAGGCCACAAGAGAGCGCATCGCGCAAAATATTATGCACGTTTCTTCAAATCGTAATAAAATAACACGACTATCTTTGAAAAGAAAAGTGCATAATGTTTAAAATAATGTTTATAAACCATATATAATTAATAAAGTTGCTTAAACAGTTAGAAAAAAAAACAGCACCATGCATGTATGTGGAGTTTAATACAAAGGATCAAAAACCAAACACAAAGAGCAGGCTACTTTCTTCATTTAAAAACATGAGATACAGTGGGATACGGGGCAAACCGCCATAAAGTCTTGAGACATGTTTTTTAAAAGTTGAACTTACACTAATTTTACATGGCTTTCTAAACATGCCGCTCTCTTGTGCCAGACACAAGTGCAACGCTGATAGATGTCCCTCTCAAAAATGTGATAAATATGCATTCTGTGTGAACGGCTTGGTTTCAGTTTTGACGTAAACAACATCTTCTCCACATTGATGCTCTCATTTTCCGCAATATATTGAATGAACAAAGTAGCAGTGCCACATCTAGTGGGTTCAACTGGATAGGCTAACAAAAGCAATGACACTTACATCGTCGTCGCATTTCGTGCACAGCTGATAGGCTGCCTGACGGCTGACGCAGACCTAAAATTCAAATGCAACGTTTTTGCATTCGAATGTGGATTTTTTTTTTTAATTCGACGAATATTCGAAATTCAAATTTTTTTTGACAGCTCTAGTCCTCCATGACACTCTGCAATTCCTTTTGGTGAACTGGTGGCAAATTTCATAAGAATTTTGTAAGATACTATTCACATAGTGTTGTGCAATCAGCTTACATAACAATGAGGGTTAGATTTAGGGGTGAGATTAGAGGTGAAACTTCAAATTTTGTTTCAAGGAGTCTTACATTTAAAAAAATATATAATAATCGTACACATTCATATGAAATCAGCAACTCAAAAAATGGTTTGAATGTTTTCAAATTTAGTAAGCAGCTTCTTTGGGAGAAATAATAATAAAAGATATATGCCAAAATACTTTTTCCAGTATTTTACATATTCTTTAATGAAATTCAATATTTAATATTTAATTTTTTCTTCATTATGATATCAGGACTCTTGTATCACCCTGACATTTTTTTTTTATTTAAAAATCTATCAAAATTATCTTTAGAAAATAAAAGTTTGTCACAAAGGACTTCGTGCTAAAATAAATATATTTGGGTCAATTACTTTTTTGTGTAGATCTTAAAATGTGTTCATTACAAAATAATTCATACATACAATGAATTATTTTGTAATGAACACATTTTAAGATCTACACAAAAAAGTAATTGACCCAAATATATTTATTTTAGCACGAAACCACAGCGTATACAAAAGGCCCACACTAATATAGCTTCTAAGATGTGTGTGAGCGCACTAATAAAAACAGAGTCAAGGAATGGATGTGCTTATTGTAAGGTGAATGAATAATAACAAAGATTAAAATATAAACACCCACACAAATTCTTCATAACCACACTCACATACCAACACGACTGAACACACGCACCAATAAAATGATTTGGAGAGTTAGAGGTTAGAGCAGCTGATGTAAGAAAGTACCTCCATGCTGTCTTACGCTCCTTTCCATCTCAGTTACACACACACACACACACACACACACAATACAAGCAAATCATTTTCAATTTACTTTTGTGGCAGCCTCCTTCTGTCTGCTCTTCTGTTTCATGACTTCAGGTGCTAATGCAATTGCTTGGAATCACCAGGCTCTCTGACATACTCCCTCTCTCCCAATTCTGTCACCGCTTTCTGGGTTTGTTCTCTTTTTGTAGCATTCTTTTTCTCCCTCTGTTCTATTTATCCGTCTCTAAGCCTGTTGGTCTGTTGACCCTGACGAGTCCTTCAGATGAATGAGAGAACGAATTAAGAGGCCAAAGACGACAAAGCAATGAGCAGAATATGGGAGGGATGGAGACAGAGAGAGAGAAAGAGAGAGATGGGCAGACGTTGGAATTCTGTTTGGCTGGAAGAGGTAAATATAGTCCTAATGACTAAGATGAGGACAGAGATGGGGAGGAGGGAAAATGGAGGGAGGGAGTGGAGAATAAGAAAGAGGGATGAAATATGGAGGAATAGAGGGAAAGAGAGAAATATTGATTACTGGGGTGTGTGTATACGTGTTTGGCCTGAACAAACATGCTGGCAATCCTCCAGTTTTGACAGACAAGGGACAGTATGAGAGTGTGTGTGTGTTATGTGAAAGGTTGGTGGGAGATGGGGGGTTGGAATGCACGAAAGACCATTGGAGCACATTCCACAACAGCATATTACTTTTTTTGAGTCACTTCAAATTAACCTGGAGTAATCATAGCCTGGGCTTGTCATTTGGGAACCCACTGTGCTAATGTTGTGCAAAAGCAGCAATTTACTGCCACTTCCACAGGTTGCATTGTACAGTAGGAGACGTGGGAAGTGCACACGCAGCCCTGAATTCATCAAAGAGAGCCAAAAACACTCAACGATATATCATCCACAAAGGAAAGGACTCGTGCTTCGCTG